GCGTTGCAAATTAACACCATTTGTTCTGCAGAACATGTTTTATTTCTACACTACACGCATAGCTTATTACTTTGCTGGCAGCGTGGGGAGAGAGGCAGCCTGGGCTGGGGGCGGGGGGAGATGTGGCCCTTCCAGCTCCTCCTCCCCCCAAGCCCACCGCCTGACGGAGGAGGGCGCCCGATCCTTGGACTGTGACCTTGGAAGGGCTGAGGTCAGCCCCTGGGGTCATTCCTGCAGGAGGGTCCCAGCTTCTGGCTGCCTCCTGATGACAACAGGCCAGGGCTCCAGGCCTGACATTCTTGGGCAGCTTCCTTCCTGCCCCATCCGGCTCCATGGCCTTGGGGAACTGACGCCCAGACACTTAGACAAACCACGCAGGCAAAGCTCATGCTTGGCTCTCGGGCTCGCAGTAAACAGTACCGTTGCCCGAGTTTCTATCTTGTCGCCGGAGGCGACAGTTGTCAAGGTCAGAGCAGACAGTGAATGACAAAGACCCACCCAGAGGCCAGGGCAGGCGGGCCAGGCCCCAGTGCAGAGGGGAGGGCCCCCCACAACATGTGGGCAGAGGGAACCCCAGGGCCCCATGGTTCTGATCCTGCACAGAGTGTCTGAGAGTGGACCCTGAGAGCGCCTGAGGGAAGCCCGCCGGGCAGGACTCAGGCCACCGTGGGCACAGCCTCCCCGTGGCGGCTGCCTGCAGACCCCCCGGGTCTCACTGCACTTCCTCTCCCCTGTGGGGGTCTTAGGGGCAGCTGTTTGTCCCACCAGCCCTCTCTCCAGACCCGGGAGACCCTGGCTGGGCAGAGGGACCAAGCATAGCCCTCGGCTCCGCGGAAAGAGCAGGGCCATAAGGACCCCTCAGGTGGGAGACCAACGGGCCCCTTCTCCTCCTCCCAAGCTTCCTCGAGCCCTGCTCTCGAGGGCCGCATTCTGGCCACCCCCCTGGTGTGAGGTCCAGAGAGAGCAGGTCTGGAGAAGCCGCTTGTCTGCCAGCTCCTCGACCCCGACCTGGGCAACGGTCCTACAGGAGGGCTGGGCACCCTGGTGGCTCCTCAGAGAAGGACATTGGGTCCAGAGATCTCAAGGGTTCTGAGCCCCTTTTCCTGCCAACAGCATTGATGGCTCCTTGCCCTTCCATCCTGGAGGCAGCTGGACCAGAGTTTCCATTGGGCCCCGGGGCTTCCCTGGTCCTCTGTGAGGGTGGCCCAAAGGAAGAGGTGGCAGAGAGATTGTCTAGACCCAGGGCAGTGACGGCAGTGACATTGCTGGGGGCAATTCGGGCCAGGCACGAAGGCAAGCGCCGGCCTTCGTGAACCTGAGTGCATCAGGGGCCGTTCTCCGTCTTACACATGAGAACGGGGAGGCTGAGAGGACAAAGGTCACACAGCAAGCACAGTGCTGGGGCTGGGCCCCCACGTTCATGGACACTTATGAGGCCCCTCCCGCACCCCTCCGCCCCCCCTGTCATCTCTGTCCAGCCCCCACCCGCTCATCCAACAACTCAGCTGTAAGGACCGGGGGAGCCTTGCCTTCAGCAGACACTCACCCCACGGCTCCGCAAGGTGGAGGAGGGGTTAGAGTCGGTGAGGGGGGGTGGGCGCCTCAGGTGTGGTCACTGCCTGAGCAGTGAGGCGGAGGTGCTGGCTGAGGGGTCGGGCCAGACCAGTCAAGAAGGTGCAGGCAGCTGGCCCTGGAGCCGTCGGGGAGGCGCCTGACACCATTGGTGAGGGTCTGTGCAGGGCTCAGCCAGGCACCGACACAGGGCGGGACCGCCAGCCGTCCCAGGAGCTCAGGCCTGGAACCCCAGCCGTCCGTCAGCTCTGTTTCATGGAACGCTATAGTGGGGTCTGGGGAGCATGGGGGGCAGGGCACAGCAGCCCAGCTCACCCGGGCCGGGACGCATGCACATGGAGTGCGTGGCCTACCTGTGTGAGCTATCTGCACAGTGGTGGGGGCACCTGGAAAAGTGACCCTGATGAAGCCACTCAGCCAACTCGCCCCTGGGCCCGGCCCCTGCCAAGGCCTCCTGCCTTCCTGTCCTTGCTCCCACCCAGGTGTGGCTGGGGCACAGCAACTGAGATCCGGTCCATTGCGTTTCAGGGACCTTGTGGGCAGATCTAGGGGGACACAGGGGCTGGCCCCTCAGAGGCTTCAGACAGTAGTTGGGGTTCTCTATGGTCTTTGCAAGGGCCTGGGGTGCCTGCGTGACCATCGCGTGGAGGACGTCACATATGTCTGGCCCAGAGCACGGGATTGAGTAGGTTTTGCTCAACATTCTGATGCCCAATCTCTAGGTACAGAACCTGGCACATAGTAGGTTTTCCACTGATACTGAACAAATGAATGGATAGACAGATGGATGGATGGACAGATGGACAGACGGGTGGATGGATGGATGGCAGGTGACTGGCATGCCAGGAAGAGGTCTGGCTCCCTGTCGGCCACCACATGCAGGAGAGGCCTTAGTGGGCTAGGGGTCAGGCCTCGCTGGAGTGCGGTAGGGGCCATCAGACAGCAGCGCAAACAGTCAATGGAAACTAGAGATCCCTTTCCACTGGGGCTGCAAAGTTGGATGGCCGCCCCCATGTGGAGTGGCCAGTGCCCACACGAGGTGGCAAGGGTTTGGAGCAGATGGGGTGGGGCCGGCGGTGCCCGCTGGTTCCCGGGACCTTCTGGGAGGCGGGTGCCCGGCTCACTTTCCGTGGGGGAAGCTGCAGAGGCTTTTCTGTCGAGAGGCAGAAAGACGCCATGAATATTTCATTAGGGAAGCAATGTGTCGGCCGCGAGCAACATCTGGCGGAGTCTCCAGGGAGCTGGGAGCCGCGCAGGAGCAGGACTGTGAAACGCGGAGGCGGAGGGGGCCAGGAGCCGCGGAGGCAGTGGGGGGCCAGCCTCTGCCACTCAGGCCGGCTCTCCCCCTTGCTCCAGCAGCCCCCTCCCTCTGTTTCCGTGGACAAAGGCCTGCTGGCATGGGGCAGAAGTCCTGGGCCAGCTTCCTCATGTCCCCTCACAGCACGGCTCGCACTGCCCACCCTGCCCCACCCAGGGCCATGGCCAAGTCAGAGCCACTCGGAGAGCAGGGGACCCAGAGAGGGTCTAGACCTGGGGTCTGAATCTCTGGGGCTGGGGGCGGACCAGGGAGCAGAGAGTGCCCCCCTGGAGCTTGATGGGGCGGCGGGCTGTGCAATAGGGCTGTGGGGGTCCCTGCATCCCATTGCTGGGGCACGGTGGACAGTCATGGCTGCCACAGCCCCTTGGGTTCTGAAACCCCATGCCAGGTGCTCAGAGCAGGGTCCTGCTTATGGGGGTATCAGGGTGGGCGATGGGGAGTCTTGGGAGCCAGAGACGGAAGGACTCTGCTGGTCTCGAAGACCTGAGAAAACCTCGGCCAGCACCAGGGCATGGTCCCGCCCGAAGAGCCAGGAAGCTCTCTGCAGGATGACCTGGTCCACACCAGCCTTTGTGCCGAGGGGCGCCTGCCCCCCTCAGCCCACTAGACAGGCCTGCAGACCTTGGCCACCCCCGCTGAGTGCAGAGCCCAGCCAGCACCCAGTGCGCCCAGAGACCCAGAGAGTGCTGCCCACCGGTGCTCTGAGGGGCAGGCTGCCCTCCTCAGAAACCCCCTATCACCCACCTGGCCAAGCGGATGGCCTGTTGCCGGGGGCCCCTTTCCTCCACCCGAGCGACTTCGCAGCTGGGCCTCTGCCAGGGGTCTGATCCCTGCCTGGAGCCCTGAGGCGCAGCCGAGACCCCCTTGGGCCTCTTGTTCCATCTCCACCCTCCTGACTCCAGATCCCGTGTCCCCTGGGTCTCTCAGCACCGGGTCACCCCCACGTGACTGCCCCTCAGCCAGCCCAGACCTCAGAGACCCCTCACTGCCCGCGTTGAGGCTCCTCTGGCCCCGGCTGGCTCCACCTCCACTTCTCACGCTTCCGCAGCACAAGCGCCTCCTGACTCAGCAGAGCCGGGGCCAGCCACCGTCCAGGGCACTGACGCCGCGAGGGCCTCGCCACGGCCTGCCACGGCCTGCTGGCCGAGTGCCCCACGCCCAAGGAGTGTGGCTGGCCCCCCGTGGGTGGTGCGCTCGGAGCTTCCCTCCCACTGTCACCGTAGGTTGCCCAGGGAGGGGTGGCCGGGTGCTGGGCGGGCACTGCCCCTCATGCACCCTTCTGCCACCACCGCCAGTGGGCGAATGTCCGCACAGCCTCCTCCGCTGCCCTGGCACTTTCTGCCCATCGGCGCTTTGTTTTGGGGTCCCTGCCGGCACGGCTCCCCCCCACCCCAGCAGCTCGCCCCCATGCCCTCGGCAGCTGGGTTCCTTGGCACCGCCACCCGCACTCCCTCTGACGGGCACGTTTGGCTGCGGTCCCACCGGTCTGCACACAGGCACTGCGGCGCCGAGCTGGCTCTGGGACTCTGGGCAGATGGGCAGGAGGGAAGTAGAGACGCTTCTCTTGGGACCACCCAACCCCACCAGGTGTTGTCCTCCAACCCTCCTCCCAGCCCCCGCCTGTGTCCCCAGGATGGCCCGCGAGAAGAAACAGACATTCAAGGACGGTTTGGGGACGCCTTCCAAAAACTGAGGCGGAGAGGACCTGGCCCTGAGAGCCAGCCGGGTGTGGGGTGGCAGTGACGCAGCCACGAGGCCCCAGAGGGAGGCGCCTGAGTGCCAGAGCCAGAGGCGCTGCCATGTGGGGGACCCTGGGTGTGGCTGCTGTCCCCTCAAACCGTGCTGCCCCTGCCCAGCCCGGCTGGCCGCTTCATTCCTCTGTGCAGAGACGGCTCCCGAGCCACCCGGAGGACTCAAGGTGACCACACCTACGCCACCACTCTCAGGGCAGTGCTCGGGGAACCCCAGGCGAGAGGGGTGACCATGCTGGCCCTGGCACAGGAGGCCCTAGACCCCCAGACGCAACCATCCCTGCCAACTGCCATGCCATGTCACCCACACCCTGGCCAGGACCCGGCCACATGCTCCGTGAGCCCCATGTGGTCATTACCTGTGCGCCGGCCGCCTACTCCCAGCCGGGTCCTCCATGGCTCCTCTGCCAAGTGGCTGCCGCCTCCCCAGGACGGGCTGCCAGCGATCTGCTGCGGTTTTTGTTTGTGAGTTTTGGCCCCGTGCGCCCGCTGGCACCCGGGAGGCGCCCAGCCCTGCCGCTCGTCCGTGGCAAGCGTCCATCTTCCCTCACCTCTCCCCCCTCCCGGTCCCCACGGTGCCAGCTCGGAGGGAATTGGCACGGACGGAGCCCGGCCAGCCTCTCGCAGCTGAGTGTAGCCAGCCTTCTTTTTTTTGTATTTTAAGCGCACACACATACTCTCGCACACGCACACGCACACACGCCGCCCCCCGCCCCCGACAACACGCATCCCTTCTGTCAGGAGCAGCCCCAGCCAAGAAGCCCAGAAGCGGGCGGGCGGCAGGGAGCCGGGCTGCCAGCCGTGGAAACCCCGGCCTGGGCTCGTCCCTTCCTCTCCCATCACCGCCCTTGTCCGCAAAGCACCAGGAAGCAGGAAGGAAGTCACGTTCACGTCGCACCTCGGAGCCTCCTGATTGGGTCCCCCACATCACCCGCCTGGTCCTCCGCACGCCCTGGCCCCAGCCCAGCCCCAGCCTCCCGAATGGTCCCCTGTGCTGCAGGGACCGTCCCCTCCCTCAGCGATGCTCTTTCCGGAGTGTTGGCTGCAGGCCACGTGCTGGGCAGTCAACTAGCTGGACGTGGGCCTGGCCTCCTGGAGCGTGCGGCCCAGCCGGGACATGACTAACCACACGCCGCGAGGACATGCACTCATGCCCCGGTGGCAGGGCTGACTGTGGGGGCAACTGAGTCGACTGAGGGGCAGTGCAGGGGCCCAAGTGGACGTGAGGGTCCAGGCCAGCCTCTGGCCAGGGTGGGGTGCAGGACTGGGGGCCTGGGTCAGAGTCCAGTGGAGAGGGAGCAGGGTGGCACTGCCAGCTGTCTGCTTAGAGCCCAGCCTCCCCTCCTCGCTGAGGGAACGACCTGGTGACACACAGCCCACAGGGCTCAGGGCAGGTGGCCATCTCTGACCCAGGAGCCGAGGTGGCTGTTCAGGGGCATCCGGGGCAGGGGTGGGGACAGAGGCAGGTCACGTGGCCCCCTGCCCTCACCCTCCCTGCCCTCAGTGCACACTGGCCCCTCAAGGCTGAGAGCATGAGAGCGGCTCCTTCACCAGGCAAGCCAGGACCCGGAAGGAGCCAGAGGGAACCAGAAAGAACTAGAGGAAACCAGAAGGAACTGGGCCTCGTGACCCCTGCAGTGGCCTTCCACCTGGACTTGCCGCCGCCCACTTTCTCATCACCCCCGCTCGGCGTGTCCCCAGTCCCGCATCAGATCTCCATGATCCTGCAGGCGGTCACACAGTGCCAGCATGGGGAGGGAGCAGGATGGCGTTGTGGCTACATGTGTGTGAGGGGTCCTCCCCCAGTCCGGGGACGGCCCAGCCGTCCTGCTGGGGGTCCACTGGGGACCCCTGTTTGGGCCACGTTGGCTCTGGGTCAGAGGTCACCCTGAGCCTCAGCTGCGATTGTGGGGCGCCTGTGCAGGTGGGGGAGCCTCCGGGAGCCTCTGCCTTCAGGCCTCACTCGGCTTTTCTGGGTGTTCACCGTTTTTCTTGCCAATTATCCTAAGGACCTGACAAGACTAATTAGCTTCAAAATTCCTTGAAGTCCCCAAATAGACACAAAGGAAAAGTCACCACAGGGTGACCATGATAGGCAGTGACGTGGGGAAGTTCCAACTTGGATACACGCCCAGAGCCCACGCCTACCCACACTCTGGCTGCCCAGGACCCCGTGCTCCTGCCAGTCCATCCCCCCAGGCCACAGCCTGCTCCCCTGCGGGCCCGGCATCGTGGGTATCGCCGGGATCGCCGCCAGCGCCACTCCCGATGGAGGCTAGAACCTGCGGAGTGGAGGCTGGGCGTCTGCCCGCGTCTCTGCTCCACAAGCCCACGGAAGCTGGGAGCAGACCCCCGCCTCGGGTCCTCACCTCCCTCATCCTCACTCCCTGAGGTCGTCACCCCCTTAGGTTCATACTCCCTCACATCCTCATCACCCTCACGTCCTCACTCCCTCGGATTGTCACCTCCCTCGGGTCCTCGCCTCCCTCAGGTTGTCACCCACTCAGGTCGTCACCCACTCAGGTCATCAGTTCCCTAAGGTCATCAGCCCCTCAGGTCGTCACCTCCCTCGGGTCCTCGCCTCCCTCAGGTCGTCACCCACTCAGGTCATCGGCTCCCTAAGGTCATCAGCCCCTCAGGTCGTCACCTCCCTCGGGTTCTCGCCTCCCTCGAGTCATCACCTCCCTCTGCTCTACCAGGTCGTGTCCCTCCGCACCATCAAGGTTGCTCCTGGTCACAGCTGACATTTAGGCTCCGAGGTGACCTCCGGGGCAACCTCTGACCTCTAGGCTACTGAGTCTTCCTCTCTGTAGGGTGTGCCCTGGCCCCAGGCTGGAGGAGGTTCTGGAAGGAATGGCCTCACCTGGAGGGCCACCTGGCCTTTCAGCCTCGCTTCCCGGCACTTACTCGGTTCCCGTCCCCCACACAGCCTCCTCACTGCTTCCAGAACATTCCAGCAGCTCCTGCTGAGGCTCTAGCTACTCCTTCGCATGGGCCTATCCTCCTCCGCATTCAAGGCTGGCTCACACGCCCCCTCCTCAGGGGGTCTTGCCTGACCATTCCTTTTTGTTTTAATTGTGGTAAAATCCACATAACATAAAAGTCACCACTGTAACCATTGAAAATGCACGATTCAGCGGCATTTAGCACATCCACAGTGTGGCACAAACACCACTTCTACCTGGTTCCAGAACAATCCCACCGCCCTCCAAAGAGCCTCATCCCCATTGGCAGTCGCCCCGCCCCAGCCCCGGCCCCCCGCGGTTCCGTGGATCTGCTGCTGGGCGTGCCACCGCCGAGGAATCGTCCACATGCAGCTTCTCTCTCTTGCACCGCGTTTTCGTGGGCCATCCCCCCGCGGCCTGTGTCAGAGCTCCGTTCCTGTCTCGGCTGATCTGCCTCCGTTTTAAACAGCCCGGTGGTTTATCCCCCTCACAGGCACACTCCTGTCTCGTGTCTCGGGAATGGGCCCGGCTGTCACACCACCACGTCAGCCAGTGCCAGGCGCGGCCGGGCGGGGACCAGACTCGCTTTGGATGAGAAGGGAAGCGTTTTAGTAGCACAGAGGACGCGGTCAGTTGAATGGCCGCACGAGTAGTGGTTGGCTTAGGGACTGGAGGACAGCACGCTCCCCACGCAGGAAAGCAAAGCCCTGGGTCCTTGCATCTCTGTTGGGGTTAGGGAGGTCACCCTGCTCCTGTCCCACGCCCATGGGCAAGGGTGCACCCATCACCCACTGCGCTCTGCTGCCTGCTGCGGTTGTCCCACCACTCGTGATGGAGCTGGGTGCACCCCAGGGCTGTGGGACCCGAGGTCCGTGACCCCTGTAGCAGCTGCCACTCCACCTGTCTGGGTGATATCTGCCATCTGGGCGTGGTTGTGGGACCCGGGACAGGGACACGTCTCCCATCTCCCTGTGCCCCTTCCTTGCCCTCAGTCCACATAGAAGTGAAGGATGGAAGGCTCCAGAATGTCCCGATAAAATGAAATAAAATGAGCTTGCTGACCACTGGGCTGGGGAGAGCAGACATGGACACGGGATGATGAATGACCAGGTGTCCAGTGTGAGGTTGGCACTGGCTGCATTTAGGGCAAGGTCAGGGGGTGGGCAGGCCATTGGGAAGATGGACCCGCAGCCACAGTCTGACCGCAGAGATGTACCAGGGACCACAGTGCCCCTGAGCCCCAGCCTCCTCAAGACACTCCTGCGGGGCTCCCTGAGGCTCAGCCTCCTCCTCCCCTCCCGCCCTCCAGCTCCCCTGGGCTCCACCTGTCACCCTGATGGATGAGCCAAGTCAGGGGACCCCCAGCTGGGGTTGGCGCCCTGCTGCCTGTGGGACTCGAACCTCATCCATCACCAGGGCTGCTGGCAGGGCTGGCCGCAGCAGCTGCCCGAGCAGCCCCGGGCACATGCCTTCAGAGGCCACCGAGCAGGCGCTAAGTGCCTCTCGCCCCCCACCCCTCCCCAGCTTGGGCAGGTGGGTGGCTGGGCACACCTGCCGCCCTCAGCCCCCAGAACACTGGCCAGGAGCCACCTGCTGCTGCCTGCCTTGTCAGGGGACTTCTTCTGGTGGTCTGGCTGTGGGGGTAACATTCCCCAGGGTTCCCTGGCTTATCCACTGTTCCCCCATGGACTCAGAGCTCTGCGGGCCACCCCGGCCCTGGGGCTGTGCGGTGGACATAGGAGGCATAGGGGAGGGGCGGTCTGCAGCTCCGTCTGGTGACCACACACGCAGAGGCACACTGACCAGTAGCCTTGGTCCAGAGCCAGCTTCCCCACTGCTCAGGCTTGCTCCTTCTGTACCCTTCCATGCCTCAGTTTACCCCAGTATAGAACAGTACTCCTCACAGGCTAGGTGAGACCTCAGTGCAGCTCTAGACATAACGGTGGGAGCGGAAGCTCAGGACGGTGAAAACCACGGTTTTTACATTTGAGCGCAGGGGGCTGTGAGGTGCATGTCTGCCGGCCTCGGTGAGCATGCAGACACGTGCACACGTGAGCACCTGTGCTTCCCAGCCTGCGTGGACCACGCGTGGCGCGCCTGGGAGAAGGTGTGTGCATCTGCGGGCGAGTAAGTGGGAGAGAGTGCCCTTTCCACCATCACGGTCCCAGCATTGGGAGAGACCTTGGGGGCAGCCCGTCCAGCCCTGCAGGTGGTCATGAGTCCTGAGGTCCCCCGGGGCCTGTGCTGGGCGTGAGCAGCGACATGTCAATGTGAGATGCTGCTCCGCAGGGCCTCCACATGTGTCCCCGTCTCTGCCACCCCAGACAGGACAGGAGGGCTAGTGCAAGTGGACCTTTCAGGCCATGTGATCTTGTGCTCATTTCTGTCCCAATTTGTCTGAAGGAGCTGAGGAAACATCAGGTGCAATGACTGACACAGAGGAACTGCAGGCATGTCCCCCCTGCCTCCTCCCTTCCAGCCACTCAGGCCTCCACGCTCTTCCTGGAACACACGCTCCAGCTCCCGCCCCAGGGCCTTTGCACGTGCTGTTCTGTCAGCCTGGGGCTCCTCTGTTTTTGTGTTGTCTTTGTTTGGTTTTGGTGTCGGGGTTAAGCTATCTTCATAAAATAAATTGAGGATTGATTTTCCTTGACTGCTTAGAAGAACTTACTTATAAAGACTTCCAAGTAGAGAGCCCTTCTTGGAGAAACTTTAAATTATTTCTTCAGTTTCTTCTTTGGTTATGATTATTGGTTGGTTTGGATTTTCTACTTCTTTAGGTCAATTTTGAATGTATATAGTTTTCTTGAAAATTATGTGTTTCAGTACTATTTTAGAATATATTAGTAAGGAATCATGCATACTCTTTTGTGATTTTTTAAGATCCTCTAATTGGTAGCTATAGGCTCTTTC